CCATTCTTTTTTCCAGATTAGTCTCTATATAATACATGCTTGCACAGAGTAATTACACAAGTGTATATATATAGACACACACATACATCGATTGTTTGTTTGGTTTTTTAGTATTTTTCAAAATGAACCCACAACCAAAAAACATCTCAAACAAAATTCCTTAAGTAAATCACAAACTTCTTTTAATGTTTGTATTTGCATTTGGGGAAAATATTTTCTGAGAAACGGAAGTATGGCTAATAATTAATATTTCACATAATTTTGCCTTTGTATTTGCGCTTATGTGAAATAGAAAAAGATAATAAGTATTATATGCATGTGCAAGATTTTTGTAGGGCTTGTCTCTGGAGACTATATGCATGTGCAAGACTTTACATATGCATGTGCAAGATTTTGATGAAATGCAATAATAAAATAGTATTGAAAAAAAAAATGATCACCTTGAGAAATGAAATAATAGAGCGAAGATTCTGCTTGTACTCGTCAAGTGGCACGTGTTGAAAACCCGAGCATCTCTCCGGCAGACACGCGTCGTTTGCTCCGAAGAAGACAGTCACTGCCGCCGGAGATTCTTCGCCATTTTCTTCCGCCGCCGGAAATACTCTCTCCACCACTTTCAATGCCCATCTCGTGTTGTATCCACTATAACCTCGTACCATTATATCAGCCTAATAAAATTTGATATATCAAAGCGTAATACATTAATTAAGAGGTAATTGTGATTTCAATACTAAGAATAAAGCCATATATCAAAGAGGTCAAAACAAAAGAATATATTACTATGTTTACTAGACAATATGTTTTCATAAGCACAAATATGCAACTATCATTTTCTTAGCAAACAAAAAAAATAACTATCATTTTAATTAATTCTAACTCATAACATAGCAAATACTCATTTCGTCTATTTAAATTAGCTGTTTTTAGGATTCCTTTGTGTTTTTTTTTCACAAATATGAATGTTTATGATCCTAATTTACCCATTCTAATAATTATCAATATAACACAAATTAAATTAATAAACTTAACTAAAAGAACAAAGAAATAGATCAGTTATAAAATTGTAAAAATGGCAAGATCAAAAGAACTATATAACGAACGAAAGTTTGAAAAAATAACTTATCTTAAAATTGGAAGAGTAACATAAACATACATTATGAGTAGTAATTAATCAATCAAAACCTATAAACAGAAATCTTTACATCATACATAAAAAATGCAAAAATATGTAAATATTTACCTTGCGGCGGAGAAGATCGGCGAGAGAAGCTCCCCAACCACCGTCACTAAAAGATTCTTCAGTGATGGAATCACCGAAAAGAAAGATCTTCCTTCTCATCTTTTGATTTTTACTCTCTGTTTTCCCGAGAAAATCCGGGACGAAACGGTGCAGTAGTGGTTTTGTTGAAGTGGTTCTGTTTGATTTACTAAAGAGAAGCTTATTATTGGGACTAAAAAATAAAATAATATACAAATTGACGCACTCAATGCTTTCTCACCTACTAGTGGACCGACCTTTCATGATTTATATAGTACCATAACATCATTATAAAATCGTATAACATTTAATGAATTCACATGTTATATTTGGTAAGAATAATGATGCATTTACTATTGTGATTCATGAACTTTCTTTACTCTTTTTTTATCTATCATATTCAAATCATAAATTCTTTTGTTATTGAAAAGAAACGTTGTTGTCTGGTAGAAAATTTTGAAATCAAAGAACGGTTGAATGATTTTCGAGCTGAATGATAGAAGTTGTGGTTGGAAAGAAAAAAGATTTTGGCATTTTGATAGAAGCAATTGAAAAACCTCAATACATACATTGTTTTTTTTTTTTTTGCTATTAAAAAAAAAAAACTGAAAACTAA